GACGGCTGTAAATGAGAGCTGCTGCTTTGTCAGATGAATTTAATTTAATTTGGAAGCTTTTTCAACACGGATTGGCTTCATTCACTTCCTCCACTGTCATTGCTAAACAAGCAGACACTGCGCAGAAAATCAACGTCGTTCAAAACTCCGCCTTCTGTTTGCTGATTGGCCCAGGTAAAATAAACTACAAGCAGACACTGCGCAGAAAATCAACGTTCTGTTCTTTGATTGGTCCGGACAAAAATTCTCCTGAAGAAATCCTCGTCTATGGAAGAAATCCCAGACGCAGCAGTGAAGCGAAATGAGAATTGAGCGGAACTGCGTAGGAAGGCAAGGGCCAGGCTAGTACTTATGCAGTGAAACTGATTAATTTAGACACTTCTGCATCTATGAACAGTATAATATATAATAATATACATAAATCTGTAAGGTAACCAAGCCTTTTGTTTGGTTGTTTGCTTCAAAACTGGTCAGAAATTTATCAGGCCGCTATGTTTCAGGACACTAGATTACAAAACAACTTTCCATTGGTGCTTCCTAGTGAATGTCCTCAGGCTGTATGCAGCCTATGTCAAGAATTGATTTATCATCTTTTCAGGCTTGCGAACATCCCTGGCTCTGTTTATCGCTTCTGCTGTTTTCTTATTCACCACGTTTCCATTTTTTACTAATCGAAGACGGCCTGGTGTCGACCAACATCTGGTTTGTCGCCGTTTGTGTTTTAATGTCGGTCAGTTCGCCCCAATATAACCCTTGCGTTTCTGCATGAGAGCGGGCCAGCGAGGCCCACGAGAGGCACGAAGGATTGATTTTTTTTTTTTCGGAGGATCAATTCAGCACTGGCACTACATGGACTGTGGTGCATTTGGGCTGGGAGAAAGTTTTAGTGTGGCGGAGAGTTCCTGTTTTGCTCATCTCCTGAGAGTGCTACTTTTCTGTTTTTGAAAACATCCAGATCATCTCTGAAGGTTTGTCATCAAAGCTGCGGCATCTGATTGGTTCTGCTAATTAGGGACAGCCTTGGTTGAACTGTCTCATTCGTCTCAAGGGTCTTTACTTAGGCCTAGTTTTGCATTAGAGTTTATCTCTGGGTTGGATAATTATACCAGCCAGTGTTTTATGCCCCTCCTCCTGATGATTGTGCCCCTGTTTAGATCAATATATATATATAGCCTCTGTGTGCATGTGTGTGTGTATGTGTGTGTGTTTGTGTGGGACATGAGAGGAACAGCAGGGAGCACTTTGTGTACAGAATAAATATTGATACAAACCAAGCAAGGGTCCAATTGATTTGTATGGGTGTTACTGGGAGCAGTACTGCATTCCACACTGTTTGTGGAGGTGGATGCTGCTTTTTGAACTTGGTCTCCAGCAAAGTGACGGTCAGTGGAAACCCTGACAACCTTCTGCTGCTCAGGACTCTTGGCTGTTTTTGTCGTAGTTTTGGTCGCTGACCCGGCCACATCGCTGTCAGAGAGGGAGAACAGGTCATGAGCCAGTGGCTGTAGGAAGAAGAAAAAAATAAAAGAGGCCAAGGAAGAAGTACAGGGGAGACCTTGCAAAGCTAATGTGTGACAGGAAGAGCTCCAGAAGACATGCAAGCAAGAGGGAATCATCCTCACGCTCAAGTGAATCAGGGTCGCGCTCAGCAGAGGCTGCTGCAGCACCAGAAGTAGCCATAAACCTCCCAGATGGTAAGGAATACAAAGTAATGGGATAGTCACCYTGTGGAGTTTTTTTTTGGCGACTTCCAACATCAGCAGCTAGCCTCCTGAATCTAACGAAGACCAACAAAGTTCCTTTTTGGACCGCTGCTAATTTGGCCTTTAAGCTTCTGGCTAAGTTTTTCCAGTGCATCCATGTTTTTTTTTTCCTCGGCAGAGTTCCAACTTATTCTAGTAATTGCTCCATTTTTGGCTGTTTCTCCATGGAAGTGCAGTTAAATAAGTTTCACGGGAAATGCTTTCCTCCCTGGCGACCACTCTGCTTTCATTGCTCTCTGTGGGAGCCACAGTGCTCCTGGCATGTTTATGTGAACTTTGGTCTTTCCCATTTTTGCTGGCTTTCTCCCATCCCATTGTTGGAGCTGCAAGTCTTTAGAGATTATGCAGGAAATCAGTTCCGCTAAGTGAGACTTTAGGCTTGAGGTTTGAGAATTGTATATGCTGGTTTGCCTGTAAACATGTTGTAATATTAATTTAGTTTTCCAATTCGAATATCACTCCAGAAGATCATCAGTCAAAATATTTATATCACCAAGCTGATAAATGAATTACTATCTACTTTCATTATTGACCACTGTCCGGTTTTATCTAAACTGCCCTCAGTTGTTGTTTCATATTGATTAGACAGACAGAAAATCTGCAAAATCCTGAAAAGACCTGTCATGGGTCCGTTTTTCAGTTTATCAGAGCTATAATGCAATTAGCAATGTGGGAAAATATTCATGATTTAAATCCTAAAACAAACATTTGTGAAATAATGATGCCTCCAAACTATCAAAAATATAAAATTCTCTAAGATTCAATGACTCAAATCAGGGTTGATATTCACAAACATAATTTAACATTGAAGCTAATTGAAATTTGTCCTTTTTTTCCTATTTCTAACACCGACTGTTCATTCCGAACATTCACTATTTTATATCCAGGCGTAACTGTAGCTATAGGAGTTCTCCTGCTGCTGTGGTGGATAGTAAAGTGGAATGAGGAAGAGCTAATTATCTTCACGTTCCCACAGAGCGCTGTGCGTAGCCCTGTAAAGATAAGGGGTAAAAATGAACTTCTCCATATGACAACGTGTCTGCCAAGTTGTAATTAATCTGTCCTCACAGGCGTTAGTCTGTTGGCAAACAGTTGCATGTTACATGTTTGCTTTTGCTCCACCATCAGAGAAAAGCATGAGTTCTCATAAAGGCGAGTTGAATATTTGTTTTATTGCACTCTTTGCACACCTTTTTGTTGAATTAGTAACATTTCTCAAGAATAGTGTCTCTGATGGATTTGTCCAGAACAGCTTAAGGGAAGTCGTTCTATTCTGGATCTGCTTCCGAAAAATTGAAACTCTGCCAGATTCGTCATGATGCTGAGCATTTCTTATCTTGGGGGTCTTTTGTAGCTGACGTCAAAAAGTCATGAACCAAGGATTAGAAAACGTTTATTGACCCATTGTTTTATAGAACACATTCATAGAGCGGGTAAAATAAGTATTGAACATGTCACCATTTTTCTCAGTAAATATATTAGTAGAGGTGCTAATGACATGAAATTTTCACCAGTCATCGGTAACAACCCAAGTGATCCATACATACAAAGAAATCAAACCATAAATGTCCAGAAATGAAGTTATTTGTAATAATGTGGAATGGCACAGGGAAAAAGTATTGAACACATGAAGAAAGGGAGGTGTAAAAAGGCATGGAAAGCAAAGACACCAGCTGAACTCTCTCAGTAATTAGAAAGCAAGCCTGCCCCTTGTCAGTGCAAATTAATATCAACTGGTTCAGTCCCAAATGATGACCAGGTATCACACAAGAACCATCTGATGATGGGTAAAAGTAAAGGGCTCTCTCAAGACCTTCACAACCTTATTGTTGCAAAGCATAATGATGGCATCGGTTACAGAAGAATGTCTAAACTTCTGAAGGTTCCAGTGAGCACTGTTGGGGCCATAATTCAGAAGTGAAAAGAACATCATTTCACCATAAACCGACCACGACCAGGTGCTCCTCGCAAGATTTCTGACAGAGGAGTGAAAAGAATGATCAGAAGAGTTGTCCAAGAGCCAAGGACCACTTGTGGAGAGCTTCAGAAAGACCTGGAATTAGCAGGTACGATTGTTTCAAAGAAAACAATAAGTAATGCACTGAACCACCATGGCCTGTATGCACGCTCACCACGCAAGACTCCACTGCTGAAGAAACAGCATGTTGAAGCTCCTTTAAAGTTTGCTGCACAACATTTAAACAAGCCTGTGTAATACTGGGAGAATATAGTCTGGTCAGATGAGACCAACATTGAACTGTTTGGATGCCAGAATACACATCATGTTTGGAGGTCAAATGGCACTGCACATCAGCCCAAAAACACCATACCAACAGTGAAGTTTGGAGGTGGAAACATCATGGTGTGGGGCTGTTTTTCAGCATATGGTACTGGCAAACTTCAAATAATTGAAGGAAGGATGAGTGGAAAAATGTACAGAGACATTCTTGATAAAAATCTGCTTCCATCTACCAGGATGATGAAGATGAAACGTGGCTGGACATTTCAGCAAGACAAGAGCCTAAACTCAAAGCCAAGGAAACTCTCAGTTGGTTTCAGAGAAAGAAAKTAAAGCTGCTGGAATGGCCCAGCCAATCACCTGACCTGAATCCAACAGAAAATCTATGGAAAGAACTAAAGATCAGAGTTCATAGAAGAGGTCTACGAAACCTTCAAGATTTGAAGACTGTTTGTGTGGAAGAATGGGCCAAAATCACACCTGAGCAATGCATGCCACTAGTTTCTCCATACAGGAGGCYTCTTGAAGCTGTCATTGACAACAAAGACTTTTGTACAAAGTATTAGATAAATTTCAGTAAGTGTGTTCAATACTTTTTCCCTGTGCCATTCCAAATTATTACAAATAACTTCATTTCTGGACATTTATGGTTTGATTTCTTTGTATGTATGGATCACTTGGGTTGTTACCAACATCTGGTGAAAATTTCATGTCATTAGCACCTCTAGTAATATATTTACTGAGAAAAATGGTGACGTGTTCAATACTTATTTTACCCGCTGTATGTTCATCGTGCTCACTCGTTGGGCTGTCATTATTATTATTATTATTATTATTATTATTATTTAGATTTGAGCACAAAACCCTGAGCTGGTTTCTGCCCCTCACCCAGATGCAGTTGGAATCTGGGTGGTCATTTAAAAATTTTTATTTATTTTTTAAATGGGTATGGCAAAAACATTGTTTGAAAACATCTCTCTCTCTCTCTTTCTTTACAGTGAAGGAGTTTCTTGCCAAAGCCAAAGAAGATTTCCTGAAGAAATGGGAGAATCCAGCACAGGTTAGTGTTCAAACAGAGTGATTCAGTTTTTGTCTGATCAGATTTTTTTTCCTTCTTTTATTCATTCCGTCAGCACTTAATGTTGTTCTTGTCATTTTGCAATGAGCATCATTAAACATCACAGTGTGATCAGCTGATCTTGAGATGAAGCTGTACTTATTATTTTTATTTTATTTTATATAAATTAGAATCATGAAAACACTCCTGCTTCTGAAGACATTGGGCTTTTTATTTTACAAGAGCAGTGCTCCCTCTGCTGGGCTTTTCTCAAACAAACATTTATATTTATGAATCAGCCATGGCTGCATCTTTACAATACTGAAACTATGTGTTGATTTCACATCAAAACAACCTGATTTTAATTTGCATACATAATTGGCACGTCAGAATATTTTAATTGACACGTTGATTTATCCATAATAAAACTAAGTTTCACTTGTGGTAATTTTGTAGAAGAATTTTTCTAAATGTTTTTAAATTTATTTTTTTCTTCTGCACCTCCAGCAAACTGCAGCATTGGATCATTTCGAGCGTTTGAAGACGTTGGGCACCGGCTCATTTGGTCGAGTCATGCTTGTTAAACACAAAGACACAGGCCAGCATTTTGCCATGAAAATACTTGACAAACAGAAGGTACAGTGTGTTTGAATTCTGATACTGACAACAACAAAGGATGGCAAATAAATGCGACTGCTATATATCCTCTTAAAGAAATTCTGTTTGAAGGCTAAATGAAATATCAGCCTTGTTTTTTTGTACAACGTTGAAAAGACTTAAAATATGTTGTTATATTTAATCACGCTGACATAAAATAAAACAACCAATRCWATTTTTGTGAATATTTGATGTGTTTTGATCACACCTGTTTCCTGATCCTGTTCAGGTAGTGAAGCTGAAGCAGATAGAACACACGCTGAATGAGAAACGCATCCTGCAAGCTGTCAGCTTCCCCTTCCTGGTGCGGTTGGAACACTCTTTTAAGGTATGCATTTAAATGTTTAATTCCTCACATAGGCCAGATTATGTTCATGTTCTTTGTTTTTTGCATGATCAAGACATCTCTTGTCTTGTTGCAGGATAACAGTAATCTGTATATGGTGATGGAGTATGTTCCTGGAGGTGAAATGTTCTCACATTTAAGGAGGATTGGTAGATTCAGGTAGGTGGCCTTGGCTCAGTTGAAGTCCTGCCACTCACTCTTGGTTGACAGTAAATACTGAGGTTCATATGTCTTACAGTGAACCACACGCCCGCTTCTACGCAGCCCAGATTGTACTAACCTTTGAATACCTTCACTCTTTGGATCTCATCTATCGAGACTTAAAACCAGAGAATCTGCTGATCGACCAGCAAGGCTACATCCAGGTAAGGATTGTAGGTTTGGTTTTCAGGCACCAGCAACAGTTTCTGTGTAGTCGCTGTAAGTGCTCTCCTGCAGTTTGCAATCAGTGCCCAAAACTGCAGACTTTGTCCTCACCATTAGGTAACAGATTTTGGATTTGCAAAACGGGTGAAAGGTCGGACTTGGACACTTTGTGGGACTCCAGAGTACCTGGCACCGGAGATCATCCTCAGTAAAGTAAGTTCTAAGTTCAGTCCTTGGTGAGCACCGTGGCAGTCTGGGACCTTTCAGTCCATAAACTGTCATTTCTTTATATCTGATCACTTTGATGCATTCTTTCAGAGCACAAGTGATGTTTTCCTGTTTGTGTTATCAGGGTTACAATAAAGCAGTGGATTGGTGGGCTCTGGGGGTTCTGATATACGAGATGGCTGCTGGGTATCCTCCCTTCTTCGCAGACCAGCCCATTCAGATTTATGAAAAGATTGTATCTGGGAAGGTGAGATTCGAGGAAGTTACCTGAATAATGCTTTTTATCATTTTTAGTCCAGTGTTTTTTTTTTTTTTTTTTTTTTTTTTACCCAACTAAATCATGATGGTATCAACACATTACTCTTACATCCAAAACGAGCTGATGTAGACACTAAAAATAAATAGATACAATAAAATTCCTTTAGAAATTGTTGTGGTATTTTATAGCATTTTGGCTTCCAGCCCCAAAATAACAGCTGTAGAGACTTGACCCCCATATATTATTGGTTTACATTTGCAAACTTTACTAATAATTCAGTTAAAAATGGGCATAACATTATAAATAAACATAATATCTATGATGCTACTTTTATTAATTTATTATTATTGTTTTATTTTTTACATTAACTATGGTGAAAATAATCCATTAGCAATTTATTTGCATTTAAAATGATGTCTGGAAATCATCTTGGGACCTCACTCTGTGTTGTACCTCAAAGTAATACTTGAGTACAAGTATCTTACTATAAAATTACTTTTGTAAAGGTTACTCTTCTCTAAGAATAGAACTTACGTAAAAGTCTTAAAGTATCTTACATTTATTGTACTTGAGTATCAAAAATAAATTTCTGATAAAAAATATTAAAAGTAAAAGTATTGAGTAACTGTGAATGGTTAGAATGTCCAAAATGACATTTGGAAATCTTTTGGGGAGGTGGTAACCTCCCCAAAGAACTTATTATTATTATTATTATTATTTATTTATTATTATTAGTATTTATTAGAAAGTATTTGTATTTTGGTTACACCTCTGCCCTCAGTTGATGTTTTATGACCCGCTGAAGGGTCCCGACTCCACTGCTTTATAGAACGCAACAATAATTCCTTTTTAAACAAAAAAATGTGTGACTTGCTTATTGCTTTGGTGTCTGGATGTCTGGCATCAATTTACAGCTGGCAAAACTTGGATCAGAAATATTTAGAATTTGAAAAAAAAAATCTATTGCAGATTTTTTTTCCAGTTAGTTTATTATGGCATGAAAATGTCTCCAGATTTTTAAGCATCTTGTGCTTACCAAAGCTTCTTGTTTTTAGCTTTAAAAAGGTAAACATAATAAAKCTAGTAATATTGTTATTTTTTTATTTCAGTGTTAGTTTAGGACATTTGTTTTACAAACATTTCCAGATAAATAACTACTGACTGGAAACATGTACAACAGTGAATTTACAGCTTTTAGGCCACAAGTTTCTCTGACATAAGTAGAGCACAATGTGTAAAAATAACTTCTTATTTCTGACTTTTATAACTTTTTTATAACAGTTCTGTCCTATTAAATGTGACTTAAAATGAAAAAAAAAAAACAGAAACATGCTGTGTGGACTTGGTTGCAATGTCATTTTAGCCTGAGCTAATGGACACCTAGCTATACTCCTCAGTCCTGCAGTCCATTATCAAACATGAAAAGACATTAAACCTTTTGCTTACTTTCACTTTTTTTTTTCTAGGTTCGCTTCCCATCCCACTTCAGCTCAGATCTAAAGGATCTGTTGAGAAATTTGCTGCAAGTGGACCTGACCAAGCGCTTCGGCAACCTCAGGAATGGAGTCAGTGATATCAAGGGTCACAAGTGGTTCGCCACCACGGATTGGATCGCCATCTACCAGAAAAAGGTGAGGCCAGCCTTCATCCGGTAGCATTGTGTACTGATGGTGTCTTCTTACAGGGGAAGAAAGAAGACCAAGATGGTTCTGATTAAACTTTTGTCGGTGGAAGTGTCTGCAGCTCAACCTGTTAAAGGATTTCACACTTTTTTATTAACTTCCAGTGAATTACATTGAAACACGTGAAATGATTGGAGAATTGAAAAGAAGCCCAGTGAGACAACCCTGTGGAATCCTAGTGGTGTTGGAAAATGCTGAAAAATAAATACAGGATTGTTTCAGATCTTAATTGTACATTAAAAAATTATAAAAGGGAAACATTTTAACACTAAGATCATAGAAATAGTAAAAAAAAAAAGGAAGGAAAAACAGTTCTTAGTTTTCGTATCAATATTATTCTCGTGATTAGGTAGTTCTGTAGTTTCAAGTATTTAAGTCTGCTTCTTACTAGCTGTGTTTCCATCGTTTTTCTACACATTTTGAAGTATTGCATTAGTGTTGAAAGCAACAATATAATAATAAAAAATTGCTAAATAAGTTTTTACGCTTGCTTAAGGTGATTTTTTTTTTTAGCCTGGCCTTTGCCTTCCTACGCAGCTCCGCTCAATTCTAGTTTCTCTTCACTGCTCCGTCTGGGACTTCTCCCATAGACAAGGATTTCACTGGCAGATTTTTAGCCGAACCAATCAGAGAACAGAACGTCAATTTTCTGCGCAGTGTCTGCTTGTAGTTTATTTTACCTGGGCCAATCAGCAAACAGAAGGCGGAACTTTGAACGACGTCGACTTTCTGCGCAGTGTCTGCTAGTTATTTTAGCATATGGCAGAGGAGGAAGTGAATGAAGCCAGTTTGTGTTGATAAGGCTTCCAAATTAAAATAAATTTGTCTGACAAAGCAGCAGCTCTCATTTACAGCCGTCTTGTTCAGCTCGGTACTTTTCTCCTCTCAGTAGGGTTGTTTACAGCGCACGTGATTTCCAGTTAGCTTCTTAGCTTAGCCTCCTTCACAGCGTCATACACACACAGACTTCAGCAGAGGCCACGCCTCCTGCAAGAATTGCTTCTCTACAACAGCAAGTCCAGACCCTCCGTCCGAAGCAAAGTGAAGGATAAGGGTCTGGTTTTAACCAGGCTAGGTGATTTTTGGATTGTCCAAAAAAAAGGTTTATGCGCAAAAGGGGAGATGGAAACACATTTGAAAGATAGTAGATAATTTAGGCATGTTCATTTACCTTAATATATGTTCGTAACCAGATAGACAATGCAGCAATAGTTGAATGTTTGAATGTGAAGGAGTCATAGAACACCAGCYTTGGACCGAGGAGCAGACTTTATTAAGCTCTGTAGCTTGTCTCTGCCTCCAGCTGGCCAGTGTTCACTCCAGGAAGTACACTTTGATTTACCATCGTCTTCATGTCCTGACCCCGCCTCCTTCCAGTGAAAGGGAAGGGGCAGGCTATTTCTACACAGAGTCAAGGCATCATACATTTATTGCTCATCACTAATGTTCGATCACGGTTCTTATAAATGTGTTGGTTTAAATKAGGCATGTATCTCACTAAAAGCCTCCTGAGTCTGTGAAACCCTTAAAGRCCCASAACCCAATCTACACATAAAARCATCAATTCAAGAAGAAATAACCACATTATAAAAAGATATTACTGTTCACCTAATAAAAGACTATGCAATGTGTAGTATCTTTTAAAAGTCAGTAGTAAGCAACCCCACGATTTACTGAATAAGTTCTGACGTGGCGATATTTACCTCACGTGATTGATCAGCTGTTTCTACTACCAGCGTCCTCCCGGATGTTTCCATAATGTGGAACAGCATGTAACATCTCCAGCAGTAGTTAATGACAGAAAAATTACAACTCTCCTGATGGCAACCCATTATCCTGAGATGTGTGGGCCCTGCTAGTTTGCAACCTCTACTTCCTGTTTATTACAGCCATGCGAAATGAATGTTGGATGAAATTTCGCTTTGRGTAGCCTGGTTGATTTGCTCTAAACCAGAAGATGGAAACACGTCTAATTCGCATTGTTTTTTTTTCCTTTTTTGCAACATTTTAAATGTTCAATCAAATGGCCAATGATACATTGCATTCACTTTCATTAGTTAATTTAATGTAAAAAAAAAATCTGGTTTTAACCTCGTTTTCCTGCTTTGTATTCCAGTCTAATCCACTTGTCTTTTTTATTGTTTGTAATTTTTTTTCTTGTCTGATGTTTTCCAGGTGGAGGCTCCTTTTATCCCCAAATGCAAAGGCCCCGGTGACACGAGCAACTTCGACGACTACGAAGAAGAGGAAATCCGAGTTTCCATCACAGAGAAGTGTCCAAAGGAGTTTGCAGAGTTCTAGGTTTCAACCTCGAGTAGCAGAGAGAGGGGCAGAAATGAGAAAGTAAAAAGGGGATCTGAATACAGGAAACACTTGTGGTGGACTGATAATTTGCTCATTTGTTATGAGGAAAAACAAAACAAAACAAAAAGTAAAATCCCCCCAAAATTGGAAAGGTAGGGAAGGTGAAGAAAGATCTACAGAACCAGCAGTGTTGCCTTTTCTGATTGTTTCTCAACTGTTTGCTATTAATTTATTTATCCCTAATGTGTTTGTGACAGGGTCTCGACAAGAACAAGCATAGATTGTTGCTGTTCAGCTAGAGTTGTATTTTTTCTTTTCTGATGGCATGATGACACATTTGCAGTCTTTCAAGGTGGAGGCACTGATTTTCTGTGAAGGTACTGAATCTGTTCGGTTCGTTTTGTTGAAAGGGCCCACTCTACAAGCTTTCCTAGCAGCTGTAGAGGGATCGTTGTARCCTGTCCAGCCTGGTTCCCCTCCATCTCCAACCGGAATCTGTCCAAGCAATACCAAGTCCAACAGATGTGCCTATCATAACGCCAACTGGTTGGAAAACTGCGTCGAACGCGTTGGTGCAGAGTTTTGACTACGGCGGCGTCGACCCTTTCGGCCATGTGGTTGAAAGCTTGAAACAACCATCTGCACCTGCCTTCGTCTGCTCAATGTGGCATGGTTATTGGGAAGATGATGCACTCTGCTGCTTGCACTGGAAGCAGTGGTGACCTCTTCGATCAGAATGAAAAGTTATTTATCACAGCAAACTTCGTCCTGGTCTTAAACCACTGGGAGACCTGAGAGAAGTGAACACGAGGTCTGCATTAAAGTCTGTCTTTCTTCTTAGCTGAGTTTATTAGAGCATTTTAAAAACAAGATTCTATTGGTGATTATGTTGTCCTTTTTACGTCGATCTCTGTGCTTGTGTGTTATTTAGTGCTGACGGGTGGCTGAACGGGCCCGCGCTTTAGCAGCCGCTGGCGTTGTGCTCACACTCCTGATTATTATTTTATTATTCGCATCTAAACGGAGCATCCCTCTTTTCAACGCTGTCTCAGAGCTGTAAAATGAAAAGAAAATTTCAAAAGGAAATCTATGAATTCTGCCAAATTCACAGACTTGGGTTCATCGCAGTTGTCTGTTTGTCACGAGGACGGGTGGATTTAAATACASAGAACAGTAGCAAAGCTTTGCAACACAGTGTGCATGATATGTTGTTTTTGTACAGTATCACTTTTAAAGACAGATGGCGGAGAATACCTGAGCTGAGGTACCTGAGGTTGTGGATTAAAAATGTCTAATATAGAAACGAAGCGATCTGTTGAAGATCCGGTTAAACGTGTCAAAGTCGTCTGGGCTTTGTTAATTTGTTAATTTCAGTGTTTGCTGATAATTGTCACTGAAACTAAAAATCTCACTTTGGCAGATTGATGTTTCTCCTTTTCTCTATTTTGTTTCGGATTCGTYACGCTGTCACAGTTTCACAGTCCAACCAACTGTTCGGGGACTTTTGGGATCGAGCGTGTTTTGGGTTTGAGTTGTTTGTTTTTTCCCTCTGTTGTTACAAATGAAAGCAGTTCTAAAGCGGTCCACTTATTTGCCAAGTTTAATTCTGTGGATGCAAGACAATCGCAGACCAAATCTCATTGCTGGTTTGTTGACTAAACACGTTGTTTTGATCTGAAGGATGAACGATTTCACCCACCCTTCGTAGGCCCTCGGTGCTAAACTTTGTCCATCACATAGAAAAAAACAAAGCTTCTGTGAGTTTTGTTTAACAATCATCAATTTATTTGTCACAGTCTTGTTAACATGACATTTTTAGAATGTTTTTGACAGATTTCGGTAGGTTTAAGTGTTCGTTTTGATGGATTTAAGATCAAGCAGGTTAATTTTTGAATGTATTCAAAATGGAGATGTTTCAATGCTGTTTGGAAACACGATGTGTATTTTTTATAATACATGAGCTCCTTTTTTTTCTTTTCTTTTCTTGCATGTGGTAAAGCTGGCCAAGACTTCTGGATTTGAAACATGTCTGTGAAAWRRTTYTTTCCGGAGCTCAGACGGTCTTGTRGCTGTTTAGCTCTTTGATTTATCTGAGCGTCACACACTAAACAGCGCAGGAGCCGGTTGGTCCAATCATTTGAGAAATAATAAAGCACATGCGACACTTTTTCAGATCCATRTAAACAATTTGTGCTAACACTTTAAAACTTTTAAAAACACTTTGAAGAAAGCACATGTGGAATCATTGCATCTTTGTCCTGACAAATGACAAAAATCAGAGTTTGAGAGCTGAACTAGATTCTAAAGACACAGAAAACTCAACACTGTTTTTGTTGGTTTCCCCATTTAAAAAAAACTGACAGTTGTCCAGTTCTTTTTCTATCAMCTTGACACTATTGACTGATCTGTGCTACATTAACTGTGTCTCCTGTTTGCCTTCTATTTTCACATAACTTTACTCAAACATAACACTTTTTACATCGGAGATGTTTTGCGTTCATATTTTCTAATTGTATTTTCAGAAAAAAAACGATGTAGGGTTGGGCGGGGGAGCAAAAACAACATGAATCTTTTTCCTCATGAGCTGGGTACAGTGCTTGTGTAGTCTATTGTACCTTTTTTATGGGAAACAATACTGTATATCCTTGCCTTTGACAGTCTTAACTATCTTACCCTCTGGAGAACTTGAGACACCCTTAGAACACAATGAGTATGTTAAAAATATAAACAAAGTAATATTTTGCAAAATGTATCATTCCAATAAAGTTTTACTTGTTAAGACAAACATGTCTGGATTGTTATTAATCTCTCACTTTATGCAGTGTATTGTTGCATATAAATTGTCTTTTAGTTTTGTAAGTTGCTAAACATTTTTATTCCTGTAAATGTTGCACAGCAGGGCTAGCTGTGGGGACGTGTGGATTATTTGGGTGAGATTGTTTGTATGACCCTTAGTAAATGAAAATACCCAGTAAAATGCACACGGATGCATCTTTATCTGAAAATTTACAAAAAATGAATCTCAACAGGAGGTTGGAGGTCCTGAAAATATTATTTGAACTTATAACTAGCACTAAAACGCTTTATATTTTGTATTCATCCTTTTAGCTGCTGTATGTATTTGTACTGTATATGCATGTTCATTGTTATCCATCAGAGGGTGCTGCAGCACCTCCTGCACCTCTAGTTCCTGCTGGCAATGTTGGTCATTTCATTGTAGCAGCCATTTCAYAATGTGCTCCCACTTCTTTTAGGAGTTAAAATACACATTAGTGATGGAGGCAAAGCTTTGAACTTTTCAATGTTTAATCTCTACAGGAACAAATAAAGCCYTGTCAGCACATTATCTTAATGTTGTGCAGCCYTYGCTTTAAAGTGCCTGTGACATGCCTGTCATTCAAACACAAAGTCAAAGAAAGCATCTTTATATTTAAGAAAATTGACATAATACATGATTTTACTCATTTTGTCACATAATTGGCCTGTTTTCTTTTGAATTTGGCTTAGCCAAAAGGAAACAGGAAGTGCCATCAAAGGAGAACTCATTAATAAAATAAACTCTGTTTATTAAAACAAAATTATGTGAACTTTAACTCTTCTTTGTCTCTCTTTGATAGCGACAAAAAATAATCTAAAGAAACATCAGATTCTTCTCTACAGTCTTTTTTAGCTTTTGTAACAACGGTTACGYACATTCCCCTTTGACATCACTTCCTGTTTCTTCACACGCAAATATCTCATCGATGTAAAATTTGTTTTGCAATATGTTATCGACGTCTTTCCAAAAAATGCATTCATTTTTATTACAAAAAAATTGATGTCACAGGTAAGTAATTGAATTTATTTTTAAGTGCAGTGTTTAAAAATCAATTTGACTAATTTACATAGAATTTGCTAATAAAAAATGCTTGATGTTTTCTAACAAATCGTGGGGCTGCTTGTGGACATGCCTCATAATATTTTTGATTGTTACAAATAAAAATCAAGCAGAACGGAACTATTTTAGGTTCAAACTTCCACAAGGACTTTGTTTTTCATGAAGAGGTCTCTAATTTATCTTAAGTTRTCTGTATTTAAATTGTGACATTTTCATAAAAGGTGATTTTGTGTGATAAATAAAAGGCTTGTTGTCCACCAGGCGCGTGCGGGAACTAGWGCGGGGCGCGCGTTCCCGTTCCGGACAGTAAATTCCACCTTAAAACCATCCCTTTTCAGCTCTCGAGTGAAACTTTTCGCTGCAACTCCATCGGTCCACCTTAAGCGCACACGCAAACGCAGGAGGCGTAGAGRGGAGGTTTCCGCTTCTCAGGCAGGCTCGGACCGCGGATCACGAAAATCKCCGAGTGCAGCCCGACGCACCGAGGGAGGAAGGAGAGAAGAGGGAGAAAAAGAGAGAGAGAAGAAAAGCGAACAAACTAAGAGAGAAAAAGATGTCCGAATCCAAGTACCGCGAGTGGATCCTGGATACTATCGACTCGCTGCGGTCTCGAAAAGCCCGGCCGGACTTGGAGAGGATTTGCCGAATGGTCCGGAGACGGCACGGGTCCGAGCCCGACCGAACCTGCGCGGAACTGGAGAAACTGATCCAGGAGCAAACCGTGCTGAAAGTTAACTACAAGGGCTCCATTTCGTACCGGAACGCCGCCAAGGTTCAGCGCAGGAGCAGAAAGAAGGACGATGTGTCGCTCACGACGGCGGCGGCGCGGAGGAGCGCGGCGGTGGAAGAAGCCAGTCATTCGGACTTGAGCAACGGGGACAGCGCTTTCGGCGCTGCGGACCCGGACGAGGATCTGGAGGTAAACGTGGAGGTTCACGACGGCGCGAGGAGTTCACAATTTAGCCGTCTTCCCCCCACTCGTCTTGTCATGTCACATCACCACGCGAATGTACAGGTGGAAGTAAAACAAGACAGCGGGGGGTTTAAAAAAAAACGAAGGGAAAAAAAATGACGTATTTTTGTGGAATTCGTTGGGAATAGTGGGGGGTGGGGGTGGGGTGATTTGCAAGTGCACCCAAACTGCCGCAGACGGGGAGCGGCGTTTGGACCTCGCTCGAGCGCTGCCGAGGTGGAGAAGAAAAGAAGGTGCGCGTGTCAGCTCGCGCGAGTGTGGCACTTTTTTTTTTTTAAAAACGTCGCCTCGGTTGTGAAGCACTCATAAAACAAGACAAACATACAAACAAAGAAAAGTTGCCTTGTCCTGCTCGTGTGCAACAACCCGAGCCTCCATTATCAGCGGCAGAAAGCGCTTTTCAAGCCCCAAAAACTCGGCGTTAGAGCGAAGAAGGGGAGAAACGGGTCGAGTTAAACCGGAAATATGCGACACCGGCTTTCAAAATAAAAGCGCTCTCCCGCTCGTTAGCTAATCGTGGTTTTATTTTTTGAAAGATCGAGACGGATGTGCTTTTGTTCATCCTGCCTGACTTCTCAGTGTGGGAGTGGATGAAGGGGGGAAAAAGTCTCGAACAGCGCGTATGTAGGAGACTGGATCGGGGCGATGGGACATTTGGTCTTTAATTTTATCARCCCTGGAAAGAGACTTCCGACATTCCGTGCACTTATTCAGCGACGTTCCCCTCCACATATGTTCCGTGCCGCGCATAATTGTTTTACCAGTTAAACGCCAGTGCTTCTAAACATCAGTCATTGTCCCAATATGCGACTAAATTCATAGTAAGGTGCAACAAAGCGCCGCTAAAAAAATGTCAAAAAAACCCGCACACTTGTGCGATTTTATGTGGATTTCTGTCCCCGAGTGTCGACGCAGTGCATGAAGTCGAACCCCTAGATCCATTGTCGGACACCCGGTCACGTCCGAGGCTCCGGCGCGGAGCGTCGCTCTGGCCCTTCTCGTCCCGTGCAGCGGCAGATGCACCTCCTCGTGACTGTCTGTGAAGCCGTCATCTTTTTATTTATTTTTTTTTTAGAGACAAAACTCGCCGCGGTGCAAAGTAGCAAAAGCAGCGATTCGCGAAAACTGCTTCTCCAGGCGCTAGATGGCGACGGATGCGCTCGTCCGATTCGGCGATCAGATCGACTTTGTTCTCGG